TCTTTGCCGGAGGCGGAATTGCCCCGCCCTTGCTGGTCCGGGCTAAGTAATCTGCTCGGGTTTGCTCTCGGGAGCTTTTGTTCCCTGCAAGCTTTGCGTACAGCTTTGGAGGACGAGAGTGAAAATGGCAGCCTCCCAATCTCTGCCTGGGAGGAGCTGAGAACTCGGGGCCCCACTCCTCAGTGCGCCCCCAGAGAAAAGCAGTCAGTCACTCCCGTCTCCCGGGTCTCTGGCCACACTCCATGCTTACCTGGCCTGTGACCGAGCGTTTCTATCTCTGGCACCCGACCCCGTGTGGAGTCTCCAAACTCAGCAGATCCCTGTGGTGCGCTCCCGCGCCCCTCCTCCCCGGGGAGGAAGGGGAGTCTCCCTGGATCTGCCGCTTGTTGGGTCCCTGCTGGAGGAGCAGTGGCCCGACTGGGCCTCGGATCACAGTTTATGGCAACCCCGAGCTGAGAGCCCGCTCCTCGGCTCCGTCTCTGCAGCCAGCTTCCCCGCTCTGATACCTGGCAGCTCTGCCACACTCAGGCACCCCCAGTCTTTCTGTGACCCCGAGGGTCCTGAGATCACACGGTCCCAGCAAGGGTTCCACCCCCTGCTTAGCCACTGGAGGGACGTCCCTCAGGGGAGCCGACTTCTAAAAGTTCCGATTTTGTGCTTCGCGACTCTTATCACTTGCCAGAAGCGGCCCACAGAGGCCCCCTCCCCCGCTGTCTATCCTCCCGAATATCGCCTCGGATTCACTTCTCCTCCGCACGTCCTACCTTCCAGAAAGTGGTCACTTTTCTGTTCAGAGAGTTGTTGCTATTCTCTTCTTCGATCTCTTGTTGAGTTCGTAGGTGTTCAGAATGGTTTGATCCCTATCCAGCTGAATTCCTGAGACTAGATGAAATCCAGATCTCCTACTCCTCCGCCATCTTGCTCTGAACAAAAATATTTAATGCTAACTTTTCTAGATTAATAAAATGATAAGTTGTAAAGATGGTGAAACATTTTTAAGGAGATTAAGTGCTTAATAAATAAAGAGGTAACTATAAGAAAACAAGATCAACAAAAGACATCTAAGGTACTCATCCATTTAAAATGATGTTATGGCCCAGCGTGGAGTCTGTTTCTGGGATTCTTTCTCCTGTGAAGAGTGTGTGTTCTGCAGTCACTGGGTCTAGTGTTTTCCAAATGTCAGTTTGATTAGGTTTCCTGTGCTTTCATTTATTTTTTGTTTGTTTGCTGTTGCTAGTTCTGTTGATTGCTGAAAGAGGAGTTTTAAAATCTCCGACTGTGATCCTGGAATCGTGGCATTGTTTCTCCATTTCATTTTTGCTCCATGCATATTTTAAGGCTCTGCTCTTAGGAGCTTCCATCTTCATAGTTGTGATGTCTTTTTAATGAATTGTCCTTTTATTCTTTAAGAAATGTCCCATTTAATCTCTTCCAGTACTCTCTGTCTTGAAGTATATTTTCTCTGATAAGAATATATCCACTTTAGCCTTCTTATGCTTGCTGTCTTAATGGTATATCCTATTCTGTCCATTCAGTTTCTATCCATTCACCCATCTCTGTCTTTATTTTTAAAGTCAGTCTCATAGGCAGCATATTGTGGGTCTTCCTCTTTTCTTATTTGGAATGTTTAAAATTTTTTTTTTTAAGATTTTATTTATTTATCTGACAGAGAGACAGCAAGAGAGGGAACACAAGCAGGGGGAGTGGGAGAGGGAGAAGCAGGCTTCCCGCCAAGCAGGGCTCGATCCCAGGACCCTGGGATCATGACCTGAGCCGAAGGCAGACGCTGAGCCACCCAGGCACCCCTTAACTGGAATGTTTAGATCATTAACATTTCATGTAATTATTAGTGTTGTTGACTTTTATTATTTGTTATTTGTTTTCTATTTGCTCCCTTTTGGATTTTGTTCTTCTGTTCCCCTTCTCTTTTTTTGGTTTATTTAAATAACTCTTAGTATTTCATTTTACCTTGATTTTTCAGCTACATTTCTTTATACTTTTTAATGGTTGCACTAAGGATTTCAGTTTAATAACTAGCTCTTAATCATCTATCTGTGGTTAGTATTGTACCAATCACATAAAACGTAGAAGCCCTGGAATCAGATAGATATCTCCAGCCCCAGCCCTACTGTCCTTTTGTTACATACATCTCAACTGTCTACACACACAGGTACACAGTTAACCCTTGATCAACACTGGGGTTAGGGGTACTGATTCCCTGCACAATCGGAAATTTGCGTATAAGTTTTGACTCCCCCAAAAACTTAACTACTAACAACGTACTGTTGATTGGAAGACTTGTTGATAATATAAACAGTCACTTAACACATCTAATGTGATATGGATTATATACTGTATTTTTACAATAAAGTAGGGTAAAGAAAATGTTATTAAGAAAGTCATAAGGAAAATCCGTTTACAGCACTGTGCAGTGTTTATTAAAAAAATCTGCATAGAAGTAGACACACAATTTAAACCTGTGTTGTTCAAGGGTCACCTGTACATCACACACATTATAAACCTCACCCAGCAGTGTTGTGGTGTCTGCTCGAAATAGTCATACATATTTTAAATAAGAAGTAAAAACGTAGCCTTTGAATCAGTCCTGATATTTACCATTTCTGATGTTCTTCCTTCATTTCTGGAGATCTACGTTTCCCTTTGGTATCATTTCCTCTTCAGCTTGAAGAGCTTCCTTTAGCATTTTTTATAGAGCAGGTCTTCTGGCAATAAAACTTTTCTGTTTTCCATGATCAAAAATGCCTTTTTTTACTTTTTTTTTCCTGTAGGATATTTTTGCTACATAATTCAGGGTTGATACTGTTTTTTCTGCCAGTGCTTTAAAGGTGCTCCCCTTTGCCTTTTGGCCTCTGTGTTTTCTGATGAGAAATTTGCATCATTCAAATTGTCATTCCCTTCCACATAACATGGTTTTTTTTTTTCCAGCTGCTTCTGAGATTTTTTATTTATCTGATTTTCTCCAGTTTGATGATAGTGTGTATAGATGTAGTTTTCTTTGATTTATCCTGTTTGGTGTTCATTGAACTTCTTAAATCTGTAAACTTAAGTATTTGGCTGAATTTGGAAAGTTCTCAGCCATTAAATTTTTTATGTCCTGATTCTTTTCTTCTCTTTGTTGGGACTCCAGTTATATATGTTAGATATATATATATATATATATATATAGCTTTTGTTTTTGTCACACAGTTTCTTGATGCTATGATCACTTAAAAAAAAATAAAGAACTTTTTCTCGTTGTTTTTCAGATTGGTTAACATAGCCAGGTTCACTGTTGCTTGCCTCTACCATCTGCATTTTTTGTTGGTCCATTCATTGAATTAGTTTCTAATATTTTATTTTTCCTTCCTAAGACTTCCACTTATTTTAAATAACATTTCTTTCTCTGCTGAGAGCTTCTTTCTATTTATTTCCTAACTGTTTTCCTTTACCTCCAGGGAAGAATGGTTATAATATAATGGTTAAGCTGCTTTAAATTTTTTCTAATAATTCTAATATCTTGTCCATCTTGGGCTTGATATTTGTTGGTTGTCTTTTCACTTTTTTATGGTTCTTTGTTGAGTAAAACTATTTTGGATTGCATCCTGGACATTTTGAATGTCACGTTGCATAGACTCTTGGTTCCGTTAAAATCTTCCAGAGATTATTGATGTTTTTGATTTAGCAGGCAGTTGATCCCCTTTGGTTCAGGCTTCAAGTCTTCTAACTACTCTCCTCCCACCCTTCCTTCCTGTGTGTGGTAGTTCAACCTCAGTTCATTTCTCAAAAGTTTGCTCCGCTGGTTTGGGTCTGTTTTGTCCATGCTTACTTGGTTCAGGAGTTAGTCTGAGACCTGTGTAGGTATACAGATAACCAGAGCATGTCCTTCTCCAATTCTTTCCCCTCTGGGATATCATCATACTCAGGCTTGTCTTGGCTCCTTTCTGTCCTTCTTCTGGCCAGAAGGATGGCAAGGTCTCTGTCGGTTTTAGCCATCTCTGCTACCCTGCTCTGCGAGCGGGGCCTGCCTTCAGTTCACAGCTGTGAGAAGGGCCAACCCGACACCAGAACACGTACTCCCACGGCTGTCTGTTCTCCTCACTTTGACTCCCCTGCGTAATCTGCGTGCTTTTTTTACTTTGCCAAGTTCTCGGGTCATTGTTTTTGGTACTTTATTCAGAGCGTATGGCAGTAATCATTGGGAGGCCTGGGCTCCTAGGGGGCTTACACTGTCGTAAGGGAACCAGAAGTCTCTGTAGATTTATTTAAATGTTGGTAAGGTGAATGATGTCAGAACAGGTCATAGATTTTCCTGTGCCTTATTTGAAGTTTAAGGGGGTAGCTGAGGAGCTGGGAGGGACCTTGAATGCAAGTATACGTGTTGAGATTCTGACTGCGATATGTCAGTCTGGTTCTGAGTCATTAACTCTACCAACCCTTCCATTTGTATTTTTAAAGCATTTGAAGACACTTCGTCACCCTTGCTTGCTAAGATTTTTATCTTGCACTGTGGAGGCAGCTGGGATTCATCTGGTCACCGAGCGAGTGCAGCCTCTGGAGGTGGCTTTAGAAACGCTGTCTTCTGCAGAGGTCTGTGCCGGGATCTACGACATATTGCTGGCTCTCATCTTCCTTCATGACCGAGTAAGTAACCTGGGCACCATCTGCCTCACAGGCCTTGCTACAGGCCAGAGGGTTGATGTGTGTGCTAGTGCTTTTAAGTTATGGGAGGTACAGAAATCATAAGTTGCTATTCTTACTTGAGTCTTCCGAGGAAAATGAGCACGTTGGAAGGCACCAGAAGGGCTCCAGACAGGTGGTTTGTGAAATGGGCAAGGGCTTCTCCAACCCTGGGCAGTTTTTTATAGACCTTATTTCGGTTTACTGTTGTCTCCCTCTAGTTTGGGGGAAGTCTTTACCTAAAAATACCTGCAGCTGGTATTACTGTTTTTAAGACAAAGATAAAGCCTTAACACTGATGTTGCTGTGGACCAGAGTTCCTATTTGATCCCAGTTTTGTTACATTTTAGATTTTGAAGGGAGAAATGACCATTTCTTAGGAAAAGGCAGAGCTTTACACACCCCTTCTCATTTGAGTGGGTAGTGCTACTGAGGGACAGCCTCTTTTTTTTTTTTTTTTTAAGGTTATTTATTTATTTGAGGGAGAGAGAGCGAGCACTAGTGGGGGGAGGAGCAGTGAGAGAGAGAGCAGCAGGAAGCTCCATGCAGGGCTGGATCCTGGAACCCCAGGGTCACGACCTGAGCCGAAGGCAGACGCTTCACCGACTGAGCCACCCAGGCGTCCCGAGAGACAGCCTCTTAACACTGTGGTCAGGTTTGCTCTTAAGGGGTAAGGGTAGAGAGCCTATGTTTACTTCTGGCCTATTTCTTGACAGTATTACTGAGCTATTTCTTAATGGAATACTAAGGCCTTTGGCAGCCCTCCAAGATTAAAAATTACCGGTCACAAGTTAGAAACACTTGCATTTGACTCATCTCAGTGTATGTTTTTTTGTTTGTTTGTTTGTTTGAACTTTTTCTATTAATGGGAGACTGATTCCAAATATCACTTTGGATTTATTGTCTCTTAAAAGTATGTCTAAGATTCATACAAAGAAGAAGAATTAGTGCTTCACATGGAGGAATATTTTCCTTGTTGGAGAAAGTACGTGCACATGGTAGAAAGTTTGACTAGTGTGAGAGTGCATATAGGGAAGAGTAAGCCCCCCCACCCTGAACCCAGCACCCCACCTCTCTCCAGCGGCAACCACGGTGATCAGTGTATTAGTCCAGAGATGGTCGGTGTGCATCTAAACCAAATGTCCCTGTGCTTATTCTCCTTTGTTTTTTCTCAGATGTAAAAATACCATACATACTATTCTGAACCTTCCTTTAGAATATATGTATATACACAATATATATCAAAATTTGTACATACTTGATCTAGTGAGTAGAATATTTAAAATGCACTTGTCTACTGAAATGATTTCTGGTTCAGGAAAAAAACACACTTCAATCCTGTTCTCATTTTCTTCTTTCTTCTCATTTATTTGACTGTATTATTTTTTATAGTTTTAAATTTTTGCACTTCTGTGGTCTGTGGGGTATTTCTGGTGGTCCTTACTCCATTTTCCTCTTCTCTGGGCAGGATTTTTAAATGCCTACTGACAAGATTTCAGGTGAAGTGGATCTGGGTTCGTGATAGAATGTAGGTGAGGAAGAATTTAGAGGAGAAAAGTAATACAATAACCTATGGGAGCAAAGGTAAACTTTATCTTTTAAAGGATGGAAGCAAACGATGTAGGCTCTAAAGACTTGTAACCTCACACTTAAGGAATCCTTGGTTCTCCTGACACCCGTGGAAGCAGGGATGTGCAGGAAGGAAAGGAAAGCCCTTTCATTGCACTTCCCTGTTCTCCAACCTCATAATGCTTAATTAAGCAGGCTTATTCAGTCTGTCATTCCTTAAAGTTGTACTTCCATTTATCATGCCACGAGCGGGATGACTTGCCATATCTCTTTTTGGTGTTCAGTATTTAGTTTTTTAAAACTCCTGCTTCAAAATTTCTAGTGGCAGCCTCCTCCTGTTCTTTTTTCCAGGGACACCTAACACACAACAATGTCTGCTTATCATCTGTGTTTGTGAGTGAAGATGGGCACTGGAAGCTGGGAGGAATGGAAACCGTCTGTAAAGTTCCTCAGGCCACCCCCGAGGTAAGCCAGGGGATGGGCCCCCTTTGTCATGCAGAATTTGATAGCATTTTGGTATGTGGTTCTTAACCTGGGGATTTTCCTTCAGTGTTAGAGTGATCTTAGATTTGGAGACTTGACTTTTTTGTCAGTGCTCCTATTCGCAGAACGGTAGGGGTTTATTCTTCAGAGGGGCCCCAGCCTTCACTTCTTCTTGTCTCCTCATTTGGTAGCTGAGGAACTTGAGACTGAGAGGTAAACTGGCTCGGTCAGGTCAAATTTTTAATTAAATGTTCTGCCTTCTGCTCCTCTAGTACCCTGTACTTAATCACACCACTTAATGTTTAATATTGAAATTACCTTTGTGTGTCTGTTTTCTTACCAGTGTTTGAGCTTCGTGAGGGTGTGAGAGTCTCTTATATGTATCTTTACATCTCTACCTAGAGTAGTGCCTGGCATGCATCAGGTACTGAAGAAATGTTCGTTAACAACCATCACGTGTCCAAAGTCACACGCTGTGTCCTAACAGCTGGAGTTAGGACCCATGCTTCTTAACTCCTCCCAGTGGGCTGTGTTGTTGCTGCCTCTGTACCCCTTACTGGTTTTGTCTGACCAGGATCTACAAATTTCCCTCCTAGGTTGATGAACCTTCCTCTTCTGTTTTGTTTCTTGTTTTCACCATTTTGCATGTTGCCACTAGACTTGCTCTTTCTGAAAAACAGAAAAAAACCAAACCAATCCCATCCCAGCAGCCCTACTGAAGTGGCGGCTCGCGACCTACTGGCTCCATCTGGTTTCCCCTGTTCTCTTGTGGGGCTTCCACACGTGGGCCATGTTAAGTGTGCACCTTCCTGGGCTCTTGCCCAGTTCACATTCTACTTCCACCACAGAGATGCTCCTCTGGTAATATTTCTGCCCTAGTCGATCCCTTTCTTCTCAGAATTCACCTTACATCTAATTAGTATAACAGCACGTAATTCATCCTACGACCAATGTTCCAAATTCTTTACCATGGCGTGGAAGGCCCTCCGCAAGCTCTTCCCCAGCCTCCCTTCAGCGTCACATACCACTTCCAGTTACTGAGTTGCACTCTGGTCTCCCCGAGTTCTCGCAGGGGTGGTACCCCTGCACCCTCTACTTCCCTTGTGTGCCGTTCTGTTGCTGGGATGCCTCGCTTCCCCCAGGATCTCTGGAGAATGGAAGATGAGCTGAAGTCTCAGATCTAGCTAAGTCTCTTTGTGGAGCCCTCCCCTGGGTATTCCCTACCCAACGAAATTTGTCCCTCCTTCTGTGCTTCCATGGCACTCAGCACATCACTGAAATTCTTAGTTTACATTCTAGATTGTGAGCACCCGGCTGGGGGCAGGGAATTTACCATATTCCTTTTGTATTTCTCGTGCCGTAAGTGGTGTTTGGGACATAGAAGCTCTTGAAAAATAATCTTTGAATCAGTGAATGAATGTCCTTGTTCTGTGGATGTCATCTCTGTAGCTAATAAGGTCCTCAACTTTGGTATCTCACGTGGCAGCGAGCCTTAAGATTGACTTGATTCAGTCAGAAGATTAATGATAGATTTGTTCTATGCTAGAAAAGCCTTTTATTTATTAATAACTAGGCAAGATGAGAAAGACGTATTCCTAATTATTAGTGGAAGGAAGTGAGATGCAGAGATGCCTCTGAACAGCAGAGGGCGCCCTACCCGGCTGAAGGGGAGAGGCAGGGAACTAACTTGTCTTTTCCACTGAGCCTCGTGCTGTGCCAGGTACTGTATTCACATTTTTTAATTAGCAAGATTTCACATGTACGTATTTAACATGTGGCATTGGTGTGAAGCCTTCATTGCTGCTATTTCCATTGCTGGTTGCTTCTGTAACTTGCTGTGATTGGTTCACCAGACCTGTGTATGAATTATTTTCCTTAATTTATTTCTCTGTCTAGTTTCTGAGGAGTATTCAGTCAGTCAGAGACCCAGCATCTATCCCTCCTGAAGAGATGGTAAGATGACATGCTTCAGCTGTAACAAAGGCTTCTTCGTGTAACTGAGTGTGAAACTTAAAAGAACCTTTCGTCTGTCCCCTCTTTTTTGGCCAAGTTGCAGATGCCTCAGAATGCCTTTGGCCGGACAGCTTCTCAGATTAATCTTATCACCACAGCAGGGAGCCTTTTCCCTGACAGTCCACTTACATTTTTGGTGGTACGGACACCTAGGATACCGTGTAAAGACAGGGTTGGTGCTTCAGACCCATTTCAGGGTCTTTGTATTTTGCTGGAAACCCGAAGAGCTGGGGGTGCAACACTCCAGCCCTTCCTTTGCTTCCCCGAAGCCATTCATCGGCCTGTTGGTTATTGGTTAGGACGCCACGAGACCTAGAAGAGTGATGATTGGCATTAATAATCTTGAGTGACAAAGGTTCCATCCACAAATTTCCCTGATAGGTCGATGAACCTTTCTATTCTGTTTTGTTTCTTGCCTTCACCACCAGCTGCTGGTGAAGATTGTATTTACCAGTAAATATGAAGGAAGTTGCTCCCTCTAAATTTGTTTTTATAACTGCTGGAAACAGACCGCGATCCCCAAAGACATATTTAATGTGCTTTACAGGAAATACAAACCCAACTACAAACTTGAGTGTAGACCTAAGACTTGAAATAAATCCTGTTGATCCAAATCAGCACTATGTGTATGTACTAGTGTTTTTCAGACTGACTTGTGGTTTTAAATCAAGTTGTTAGAGGTTCTGACAAGCATTTTGAGAAAAAGGAGTAAAATAGAAAATACCGTTAAGTGCTGTAGGTAGTAAGGCTAAGTATTGTTTTATGAAACTTTTGTTTCTGTTACGTGAGTCTTTATGCATATGTGTATATATTCCTTCCACTGACGGTAATCATAATAATAAACATTTTAAAAATCTGGTTGCAGCCAAAAATATTTTTGAAAGCCACAGACATATATCCTATTTAGGCCTTTTGTTTTCTTTTTGCCCTTGTTTGATATTTTTAAATCTTTGATAAATTCCATTCACTCCGAGTGTAGAAGCCTGTAAGTGAGTGGATGGTGCTGTGAGGTTAGCTTGGAATCTCATAAATGCAAACACGGGAGAGTGCTTCAGAGAAAACTTAGATGTGGTTTATAAGGCAGATTCTCTAGGTTTAATGATCTTTCCTGCTTTCAGTCTCCAGAATTCACAACCCTGCCTGAGTCACACGGACATGCCCGGGACGCCTATGCGTTTGGGACATTGGTGGAAAGTTTGCTCACAATCTTAAGTGAACAGGGTGAGTCGGAGTTGTACTACTGCATCCACAGAATAAGTAGGAAGGTCATTCGCGGCCTGTTCTGTGTGGATTCAAAGGACCGCAGTCTTTGATCACAATAAGGAATCTGTTGCTTACCAAATAACTTGTCTAGGGCAGATCTTAACAGCAGTGAGGAAAGAAGCTCTGATTTCTTTACTTTGCAGAGTTAAAAGCATTTTAAGTAGGAACCACTTTCAGCTCTGACTCTTAAGTAGCCCAGGTTACTCTTGTGATACTTACTGGGATTGGTTCTTGTGGTCTGAAGCCTCTGTTCCTTAGTCGGCCACGTAAATGAACACTGTTAACTGATTGATGTGGAACCATCTGAAGGAAAGAGGATTCAACATTTTTTATTAATCAAGCTTAGCATTTCTTTGTCTTTATTCTTTCCAAGTCCTTTTGATATTTTTCTTCTTAATATAATGTACTTATTGCCTTTTCTTTTGTTGCCCTGGAGAGCCCAGGGTACTGAGCACATTGTTTTCTTCTCTTTTGAGCTCTCCAGAGGCACGCCTGGAGCCTGCTTCACTCTGCTCCAGCCACTGCCGGCCTTCAGGTGCCCGCCTGCTGCCTGGCCGGGGGTGCCTGCCCCGTGAGGCCCCTTGCTGCCCGGGATTGCACTTGGCCCAGGCTTCGTGCAGCTCTAATGCAGTTTCTTTCACCAGGTGTCTGCAGCGTTCTGAAGTTACAAGCATCATTCAGCTGCTGGCTCTAAATTGTCTCAGCCTAAAAATACTTGAGAATTACACCCTTAAGGCCCTAAGGCCGCCCTTGTAGGGATGAACTTACTACCCTACTGTGTCTGGAATGGTGGCAATTATGTACCATCCTTGGGAGATTAGAAAATACGGTCGTTCCGATAACTTTTCGTGTTCTCTGGATGGGGAACCCTGGTGGGAGAGGCCCGCGGACCTGCCACCTATTCAGCCGTCTTTAGGCCTGAGCTGAGCCAACCCAGACAGCCAGCCTGGAAGTGAGGCGGCTCCACAGAGCAGCCCCAGGGAGTGGGTGGGGGTTGGCTGTGTGGGCAGGTGAGTTTTGTACACCTGCCTTGGAGTCTGGCTTCTGCTTAGCAACAGCCAGGGCTTTGTTTGTTTGGGCTTTTACAGGTTGGTTTTTGCTCTCGTCAGTCTCCAGCTATAGAGGTCCTGGAAAGAGGGAGAAGGCATTGGAAACTAACTGTAGCTCTGGATTTCAGTTTCAGCGGATGTTCTCTCCAGCTTTCAACAGACCTTGCACTCAACCTTGCTGAATCCCATTCCAAAATGTCGGCCAGCGCTCTGCACCTTACTGTCCCATGACTTCTTCAGGTGAGGGCATCTGGCGGCCTTGGCTAGCTGTTTCCCCCGCAGCCGGCCTGCTCTCGGACCCGGCGTTCTGGCCATGGGGTTTGGGGGCCCCGGTCACGCGGTCCCTCCTGTGGTTGCCGTTCACTGTCAGGAGAGGTTTAAATCACGTCCACATGGGAAAACAGAGGGCAAAATTGGGCTGCCTCTCGGGTTCTTATCACAGGAAGTTTGAGATATCTTTAACTGTGGTGAAGGCTTGAGTCTAGAAGTTACAGCCAGGTCCCCTTAGGACTTGGGTTGGTGAAGAGGCTAGTGGTTTGCAGTTGTCAAGGAATTGAGAAACTCTCTACTGCCATCGTGTTCTTGATAAGAATTTGTTATTGTTGAAAATTTTTCTTGGGGGGAAAGGAGCTCATTTTTCTTCAGGCAGAAGATTGTCTTCTTGGTTTAGTAATACATGATGGAAGAGAAGCACAGAAGTCTAAAGGGAGGGCACGATAGAATGGTAATACTGTCGCTGGATTCAGAGATTTTTTGAACCTCTCTTCAAGGTCAGTTTTAATTATGTGTCCTCCACCTTTTCATTTCCATGACCCAAAGGTTAATTTCACAGTCGCAACTTTGATTAGCAAAATTGATATTATGTCCATTTTGAAACTAAAGACCCTTACTTGTTTGCGGTTGGAGAGCCCAAGAAAAACCAGAGTGGAGGGAAAGCTTGGAGGGGCTGAATTACCTCTAGGGTAGGACTAGGGGCCATATTATTAAACAGGGCAGAGAGGTAGTTTCACTATAGCTATTAGGATTTTATTTGACATTTACATTTCAAAGAAACTGTTCAAAACCTTGCCCATTACAAGATTCTTCTAACCAAGGCGTTTCTGTGTCGTTTTGGATAATTCATACCAGTATTTTATTTACCTTGATATAAGATCTCTACAAAGAACAACCCTTTACAGCAAGTAGATGATCTCATCACTGTGTGGTAAGAGTTCTTTAGTAAGAATTGTACTTTAAGCAGAGATGGGAGAGAAAACCAAGACCCACACCAGCTACCTCTTCCTGAACTCTGATGGTTACATGTGAGCCAACTTGATTAGACGTCAGTTAAGACATTTGTGTTTTGGGGCCCCTGGGTGGCTCAGTCGGTTAAGCGGCTGCCTTCGGCTCAGGTCACGATCCCAGGGTCCTGGGATCAAGCCCCGTATCAGGCTCCTTGCTCAGCGGAGAGCCGGCTTCTCCCTCTCCCTCTGCCTGCCTCTCCCCCTGCTTGTGCTGTCTCTCTCTCTGTCAAATAAATAAAATCTTAAAAAAAAAAAAAAAAAAAAAGACATTTGTGTTTTTTCTCTGCTGCTAAGCCAGAGGGAAAGAAAGGGGTGTCGATGTAAGATGTGGAGACTCGGGGTGCTGCGTGCGGATGGCCCAGCAGCCTCGTCCCATAGGACGGGAGCACGGGAGTCAGTGCTCCCCTGGAGCTGGGCAGTGTGCAGCGTCACAGGCCCTGCGGGGAACGCACAGCCCCTCCCCCTCCCCCCTGCCTGGCTGAGAAAATGGCCTCAGGGCTTCGGGCAGGAGCAATGGGAAGATTCCAGTGACTGGCACGAGAGATGCCTCTTTCTCCAACCCTCTCAGAGTTCTTACTTCAGTAGAGCAGACTGGAGATTTCAACGACTGTTTGCAGTGCTTGATCACCCCAATACCACTGTTCCCGGGACAGTTCATTTCACCACATCCTGTTGCAGCAAAAGCTCAGAGGACTCTTGATTGCTCAGACCACCGGGTTTGTGGGTGTTTGTTTACACACCGTGTGCCTTGAAGCATGTATCCTCTTCACAGATCTCTTTGCTGTTCTTAAAATGCTGGTGGGGCTGGCTCATAGCATTTGTCTCATGAGCTACTTAGTTATAATAGAGTCTTCTAAGTGGCACGGGAGAATGTTTCCTTGAATATTAGCATAGTGTGGTCTGTGGTTATGGCTTCAGTATTTAACATGCCTTTTCTAATCTATTGTCCTGCATTTTTTTTTTCTCTTTGGCATTTAGGAATGATTTTCTAGAAGTTGTGAATTTCTTGAAAAGTTTAACATTGAAGAGTGAAGAGGAAAAAACTGAATTTTTCAAGTAAGTTCACAAAGTGAAGGGCTTAAAATTCAGTAACTTGGATTAAGTCTATGTAATCACTTCGGGTGGAGAGATGAGTCAGACGTTTACTTTCTCGGGCCAAGCTTATTGGATATTTCCTGTGTGTTGGCTTTCTGCTAGGCCCTGGGATGGACAGATGGTTCTGGTGGGGGAAGCATGCAGACTGGTAGTCCTTAAACAGTGATAGAGCTTGCCGGGGGCGTCCTGAGACCCCAGAGGAGAGAGAGGAGGTATTCTAGGCAGCGGGAACGAGTGCACAGAGGCAGGGCGCGTGCTGAGCCTGGCACACGTAGCAGCTGGGTCCAGTTGGAGCGCAGACTCCGAGGCTGGGGTGGGTGAGAGGTGGGCACCCTCGGGTGGGGCAGTGAGAACCAGTGACACTGTTGGTAAGCAGTGGGCTTCAGGCATCGAAGCCGTGGAAGCCGTCTGTGAAACGGTTAAATCTCCCAAGGCGGATCACTCTGTTGTCTGTGGAGGGCACGGGTTGATTTTTTACGGGACTTGGAATGGTTGGTAGACCTTGGCAGGCATCGGTGGTACAGTGAAGACACAGACAGAACTTTCAACGTCAGATTGGCAAGCCCTTAGGGATGATCCCAAGAGCATTAGAGAATCCTGGAGGAAAGGCCCCAGCGCGCCGGGAACGTGAGGAGTTTGGGGTCATGGTGTCCCTGCACAGTGTGGGGGGGGCTGTAGACGGAGATGTGCACGGGCATTTGGCCGGATGGGTCTGAGGCCCGGGAGAGACATCGGCAGCCAAGGAGCCAGCAATGAGGACCAGGGTGCCACAGCCTGCAGTCGGCGACAGTTTCCCAGAGAAAGCGGAGGCATGGGGAAGACCGAGTGCCCAGACGTAACCCTGGGGCAGCCGCCCAGCCTCGTACGGGGCTGGCTGACCAGTGAGACAAAGCAGCGATGGTGACGGGAGGTTCGGAGAATGCCCGGAAGCCTCGTGGTCCTGGTAGAGGCACGTTCAGAAAGGTCGGGGGAATCCCTGTTCACTGAGGAACCGGGGGAGCAGTGGCGGCCTCATCTGAGGAGGAGCCATTGGAGCGGAGGGAGCCAGGCCGCAGTGAGCTCAGAAGTGAACGGAAGGTGAGAAAGTGGACTGCGTAGAACCTCCTGAGAAGTTCGGAGAAGAGAGAACAGAGAACAGCCGAAGAAGGGAGTGGAGACAAGAAGGACTTGTGTTTAGGACGAAAGCGATGTGGGCAGGGGTGTTGGCTGAGGGAGCAGGGCTCGGGGAAGAGAGCTGTGGCCCCGGAAGAGGTCGGGCTGTGGGGTGACAGTGGCTGGGCGCAGTGGGAAGTGCGAGGAGGCCCCGCGTCCCGGGGACCCGTGGAGGAGGCGCGGACGTAGACCCCGTTAGGGCACGGTGGCCTGTTTGCTCAGGCAGTAGGAGGCAAGACGGCCTGCTAACGGTGACCGTGTAGGGGGAGTTCCCACTGCTACTTCCTAATACCTGGGTCTTTTTTTTTTTTTTTGGAGAGAGAGAGAGACAGCAGGGGTTGGGGGCAGAGGGAAAGGGAGAGAATCTCAAGCAGATCCCCACCCCCCGCCCAAATGCAGAGCCTGACACGGGGATCTGTCTCATGACCCCGACATCATGACCTGAGCCAAAATCAAGAGTCAGCTGCTTATCCGACTGAGCCATCCAGGGGTCCCAAATACCTGTATTCTTTTTTTTTTTAAAGATTTTATTTATTTGACAGAGAGACACAGTGAGAGAGGGAACACAAACAGGAGGAGTGGGAGAGGGAGAAGCAGGCTTCCCCCCGAGCGGGGAGCCCGATGCAGGGCTCGATCCCAGGACCCTGGGATCACAACCTGAGCCGAAGGCAGACGCTTAACAGCTAAGCCACCCAGGTGCCCGCATTTGTGTATTCTTTTTTTTTTTTTTAAAGATTTCATTTATTTATTTGAGAGAGAGAGCCCGAGAGGGAAGAGGGTCAGAGGGAGAAGCAGACTCCCTGCTGAGCAGGGAGCCCGATGCGGGACTCGATCCCGGGACTCCAGGATCATGACCTGAGCCGAAGGCAGTCGCGTAACCAACTGAGCCACCCAGGTGCCCGCATCTGTGTATTCTTAACAGAATGCTCTTACGTGTGTTATTTTAGGAAGTTTAGTAACAAAAGCTTGTATTTTTTGTTTACTGTGGGAACTCTAGATAAAATTATATCCTACATTTTTTAAATTTGAAGAAAGTCCTTTTAACTGACTAGGAAGCTTCTGGCTTATTGGGGAAAAGGAGGACACTGGTCTGTAAATAAGGGGCAATTTGTTGAAACTTTTCATAACTCAGATCGGAGCTTGTCTGTGTGCTGGCAGCCTTGTCTCACACCCGCTGCATTTTTCCTAAAAACCTTGCAACCACCTGTTCACCTTCCCTGGCCACGTTTCACAGTGCCTCACTGTGACAGAAGTCGGAGAGGGCTGTGTGTGTCTAAAGTGTACAAGGAAGCGGATACAGTGTCACAACCAGGTTCCCAGGCTCTTCTTCTGTGCCCTCAGATTCCTGCTGGACAGAGTCAGCTGCTTGTCAGAGGAGTTAATAGCTTCACGGTTGGTGCCTCTTCTGCTTAATCAATTGGTGTTTGCGGAGCCGGTAGCGGTTAAGAGTTTTCTTCCTCATCTGCTTGGCCCCAAAAAAGGTGAACTTTTTTCAAAGGATTATTGGTCATTAAGGAGTTTGGGCATTATTAGTCCTTATTTTAGCTGAGTGAGATTACTGCCTGGTATAGTTAGATATGTCTCTAAAAACAATTATTGGCCCCTCAGGTGATCATTTTGACTCAGACCTGGGTACCAGAGCCCACTGGGTAAATAAGGAGCATCTCCTGGAGAGTCAGATTTACTATAGAAGGGTAGCATATTGAAAAAAATACACACACACACACACAGGTAGGACTAGAATAGGAGATGTACATGGAGTTTTAGCATAAGGCATCCATCTTCATAGGACTTTTGCATTTGCAGTTAGGCCTGTGCTTTCTGACTTCCCAAGAGCAACCCATTTATTTTGTATTTTCAGTGGAAAGATTGAAAAGCATGGAGATCACTTTCCTACTTAGAACTTCTGTTTTTTTCTGAATGTGAAATGAGGTTATTATTCTGATACTCTCACTTTATAAGCACTGCAGATGGTAACACATCAGGTTAGACAATATAGCATTAACGGTCTGTAGAATTTCGTGTTAGGTAGAATTCTGCCTTCAGAATTTATTTTCTTAAAAGATCTCGATCCAACAGAGCCGCATTATAGGTAACTATTTTACAACATAGAATTTCCTTATATTCTTTGTCATTCCCTGACTTGTTTTTTTCATCGCAGTATAGTTGACACAGTGTTACATTAGTTTCAGGTGTGCAGCACACTGATTGTTCAGTCCCAGAATTTTTCTTTATAGCTCATTCTCTTACTCAGTAGATCTTAGAGGGGGGTGCTTCTGAATCACCTGGGGAGCTTTTTACAAATTTTGCCTGCCTGCCTAACCCACTGGTAGCGGGACAGAGCCAGGGCAGGACTATATCGATATATATTTGTAAGGGTCCCCAAATGATTATGGTGGGTGTCTCTGATAACCACCGCCATGACAAGCAGGAAGATAGGACCACCCAGCTTCAAGTCCCGTTGTGACATTTACCACCTCCTGGTTTTGCAGATAAAATTGAAGCAGCAGTATTAATCTAATCTAGTGTATGAAATTCCTCATTGACTAAACAGAAACGTATACAAAGTTACTGATTCAGGAGTCTATTAAAATATAAGCTTTCTTTGTTGCTGATTAAATCTGGTAGAGTATTTCAAAAATATTTCTACAAGGTCCAGTGTATTTAAGGTAATTGAGCCTTGAGTGATTGGGGTCAACCAAAAAGGTTTCCTTTGGTTTGGGGCATAAGAATTTAGAAGAGTACTTAGACTGTGTGTCACGTTGTGGGCTCAGTTTATGAATTATCCTTTGTGCTCCTTTCATGGAAATGACAGTTTGCCTTTTCATCTGTAACTACCTCTGATCTGGGGGTAGACAGCGCGCGGGGAGACACCCCTTGCCTGCTGTCGCCGGCCCTGTTCCAGTCGCGGGTGATCCCTGTGCTGCTTCAGCTGTTTGAGGTACACGAGGAGCACGTGCGGATGGTGCTGCTGTCTCACCTGGAGGCCTACGTGGAGCACTTCACTCAGGAGCAGCTGAAGAAAATCATCTTGCCACAGGTCAGAGATGGCCGGCGAGGAGGGGTGGGGAGAGCGGGCACGGCTCACGTGGGGGCTGAAAGGAAGCCGGGGGTTTGGAGCCGGAAGAGCCCCACTTCGGAGGCTCTGAGCAGCAGTTGGGTTTCGGAGCTACTGGCATACAAAGGACTGGAATCCAGATTGCATTTCCATTCCCCTCACGCAGGCAAATCGGCTAAACTAACATATTTGGTCTTAACCTGGGAAAACTAATTCTGTTTGCTAATTCTTTGGGGAAAAGGAACAGGAATCCTTTGTGGATGCTTTGTGACAAAAACTGTAAGTGTCCACAACTAGATACTATAAAATAATTAAGTTATATATAACTGAGGGGAGAATGAGATGATTTGGACTTGTGGTTTCCAGCCTTTTTCTTAGCCGCTGGGGAACTGTGTAATGATTCACCCGCTAGGGGGCTCCAGCTTTATACTGGTTTGCTGGGACTCATAGAAGAAGTTACCACAAACTGCCTGGCTGAAAACAATAGAAATCTGTTCTCTCCGGGTTTTGGGGGCCGGAAGTCTGAAATAACCGTGTCTGCAGGACCGTGCTTCCTCTGAAAGCTCTAGGGGAGAAGCCGTCCTTGCTTTCTTCCCCCTTCCTGGGAGCTCCCGGCAGTCCTTGACTTGACTTGTAACTGTGGGTCATGCCAATCTGCCTCTGTTGTCAATGTGGCCTTTTCCCCTCTGTGTCTTCACTTGGCCTTTTTAAAAAGACACCAGTCATTGGATTTAGGACCCACTCTAACCCAGTGCAACTTCATTTTAAGGTCACATTTTGGTTGGGTGTGAATATTTAGGAGACAGTATTCAACTCAGTAGAAGGTTGTAAAAGATTTTGTCAGCCATGTAGTAACTTTCAGATAATTTGTTGTCCTATGAGATTAATTGATTTGCAAATTATTTGTGAGACGTGGTTTTATGCCACGTCTTATGCTTGGGTCCTGGGGCCGTAGAGGTATATAACACCTTGCTTTCAAGGAGCTAGGAGGTGGGAAAGACAGGTGTTTGTTATCTGTTGCTGTGTCACAGACCACCCCAAAACTTAGTGCCTGTCCACAGTCATTTTTGTCTCACAGTTCTTTGGATTGACGGGCTCAGTTTGGGGATTCTGTCCTTGCACATGATGTCAGTTGACGAGCAGTCCCCTGGCACCTTGGAGGGGATGGCTGAAAGGCTGGGCTTAGCTGGGCCTCTCTTTCCACGTAGTCTTGGGACGTCTCAGGGCCTCTGTTCCCCTTTGTCACATCTCTAACAGTGTAGGTGGACTTCTTACCCGGCTGCCCAGGGCTACGGGAAGCGCCAGAGCAGCCTTTCGGAGGCACAGGTTAGGAATGAACAGTGTCACTTCTGTTCCAGTCTCTTGGTTCGAGTGAGTCGTGCAAGTCAGCAGGTTCGTTAGGTGCTGGTTTACACAAGCACATGGGTACTGGGGGGACCACAGAGGGGAGGGGCTGGCTTTAGGGCTAAGCAACCACAAGGTAGCACGTTGTGTTACTGTTACCCTGATGTAGTTGTGTCTGAAAATGTCGAAGAGGGACGGAGCACTCGCCCTCTGAAATAGAGTTCTCGTAGGTCTCGAATTGACACTGAGCTGAGCCCAAAGATTGAGTCAGCAGTGTGTGAAAGACAACAAAGGCTCTCCTCTGTAGGGGAATAACTTGGCCAGTTTTTTTAAAAAATATTCTATTTTAGAGAGAGAGTGAGTGCGGGTGCAAGGGGGGACGGGCAGGAAGAAAGAATCTGAAGCAAACCACACTGAGCATGGAACCTGACTTGGGGCTTGATCCCACAACTGCAAGATCACGACCTGAGCCAAAACCAAGAGTCAGATGCTCAACTGACTGAGCCACCAGGCGCCCCACTTGGCCAATATTTATGTGCTACAGAGTTCACTTTGGTAGCGTGGAAGATGGACTGTAGAAAGGGAGATCAAGTAGGAAGCTATTAGAACAGTCCAGCTAAGAGAAGGCAAAGTCTGGGGAAGATGTGGGGACAGTGGTTATGGGAGAGGGACATAAAAAGGGTAGAAGGGTAGAACTTAGCTTCTCATGAGAGAGGCAGAGTTTGAGGATGACTCGGATTTGTGGCTTGGGTGGTTTGTTATTTTATAATTACCTCAGTGGTTGGAATTCTAATCATTTTCGAAAGAAATACACTTTATTTGTTCAGCTTTGTTTTGAGAAAGTGCCCGATTTGTTAGCATTGGACCTGATAATTATCTTAATGAGTCTTGTTGGAAATCTTGATCTTAGATAAATGAGGGAACTAGACCAGAAAAAGTAAATGATGAGTCAAGTCATAATGAGAATTCCTAGAGGAGCTGGCACCAGAACCCAGGATTCCTGGTACCCATGATGCCATGCTTCCGCCACTGGGGAGGCCCATTACCCTGGTCCTCTCTCTGGCCGGTGCAGGTGCTTTGCACGCCATCTCCCTCACACAGGCCTTTGCCGGTTCAGAGCAAAGCTTCTCCTGAGACCTGCATGTGACTGTCGTAGTTGAGTTTCTTTTGGTTGCAAGTAACTGAAGCCCACTTAAATGAGCTAAAGCAAAAAAAGAGACTTTAATAAAAGGATGTCAGAACTGCCTTACATGGAAATCAAGTGCAGCTGGGACTCAGCCACATGCTCTTCATTCCTTTCCTTTCTCTTTTGATCTGTCCCACTTTTGACTTTCCGAAGACTAGCTTTCATTGTTTGATGTACACATGGCCAAACATGGTTGTCCCCATAGCTTCCAAGTTTATTGTCCTCAGTATAGCAAGCCACAGAGGTAACCAGTTTCTCCACATTCCAGTTAATGCTGGAAAGGGATCATAGTTGACTCAGTTTGGGGCAGGTGTTATGTATATCAGTTACAAAGACAGTTTTCCAAGTCCTATCCTTTTGCATGTGTAAAGCTGAGAAGAGGGGCAGGGGCTAGGGACGTAAGCGTGAGGGACGTAGACAAGTGTGCTCAGTAGACACTGCCTGTCTCTGAACTGTGTTTATGGTCCTGCAGTACGTGCGTACCGATAAGGAGAATGAACATGTAAAGCGGTCTTTTAATTGAGATATAATTTACATATAACCTATTAGTTTCAGATGTACCACATGATTCAGTATTTGTATATATTGTGAAATGATCACCACAGTAAGACTTGTTAGCATCTGTCACCATACATAGTTTACTAAATTCCTTTTTCTTTGTTGAGAACTTTTAAGATTTATGTTCTTAGCAACTTTATGCAATACGGTAATATTAGTGATAGTCACTATGCTGTATGTTACATCCCCATGACTTTTTTTTTTTTTTAAAGATTTATTTATTTACTTAAGAGAGTGAACGCGGGGAGGGGCAGAGGGAGAGATTGGCTTTAGCAGACTCTGTGCTGAGCGTGGAGCCTGACATGGAGCTAGATCTCACAACCCTGAGATCGTGACCTGAGCCGAAACCAAGAGTCAGACACTTAACCAACTGTGCCACCCAGGGACCCCTGACTTATTTGACCCCTTCACCCATTTTTGGCCCCTCCTCACCATCCTCTTTCCCATCTCTGGCACCACCAGTGTGTTCTATGAGCTTGTTTTGTTGTTCTGTTATTTTATTTTTATTTTTAAAGATTTTTTAATTTTGGGGGCGCCTGGGTGGCTCAGATGGTTAAGCGTCTACCTTCAGCTCAGATCCTGATATTGAGCCCTGTGTTGGGGCTCCCTGCTTAGCTGGGAGTCTGCTTCTCCCTCTGCCCACTGCCCTCCCTCCCCCAGCTCATGCTCGCTCGCTCGCTCTCAAATGAATAAATAAAATCTTTTTTTAAAAAAGATTTTAAAATTTTAATTAAGTGATCTCCACACCCAACATAGGGCTTGAACCCACAACCCTGAGATCAAAAGTCTCATGCTCCACTGATTGAGCCAGCCAGGTGCCCCTGTTTTGTTTTTTTTTAGATTCCACATATAAGTGAGATCATGTGGTATTTGTCTTTCTCTCACTTATTTCACTCAGCATAATGCTCTCAAAGTCTATCCATGTTGTCGCAAATGGCAAGATTTTGTTTTTTATATGGCTCAGTGATATTCCTGTGTGTGTGTGTATAAAATCACATTTTTGTTATTCCTTCGTCCATTGATGGATACTTAGGTGTCCATATCTCGGCTGTTGTAAATAATGCTGCAGGGAACATGGGGGGGGGTGTTAAGTGTAAATTAAATATAAGTTAGTGTTTATGTTTTCTTTGGATAAACTCCCAGAAGTGGAATTGCTGGATCTTATGGTAGTTCTTTTCTTTTTTCTTTTCTTTTTTTTCTTTCTCTTTCTTTTTCTTTCTTTTTCTTTTTTCTTTTCTTTTTCTTTTCTTTTCTTTTTCTTTCTCTCTTTTTTTTTTTTAACTTCTTGAGGAACCCCCATGTTGTTTCCACAGTGGCTGCACCAGGGCTCCCTCTTCCCACATCCTCACCAGCACTTGTTACCTCTTGTCTTTTTGATAAAAGCCGTTCTCATAGGTATGAGGTGATAGCTCATTTGTCCTGATACATCACTTTGACAATATCGTTGACTGTACTCCGCATGCGGTGCCTGTTATTTCCATGACTTACTCAGGCCGTAACTGGAAGCCTGAGCCTCCCACTGCCCTTCACCCCTTGTGCCCAACCTTGTTCGCCCTCCCCTCTGACAACCATCAGTTTGTTCTCTGTATTTACAGGTCTGATTCTGCTTTTTGTTTATTCATTTGTGTGTTTATTTTGGTTTTTATTTTTTTATTTATTTTTAAAGAGTTTATTTATTAGAGAGAGTTCAAGCAGGGGGAGCAGCAGAGAGACGGAGAAGCAGGCTCCCACTGAGCAGGGAGCCCGATGTGGGGCTCGATCCCAGGACCCTGAGATCACCACCTGAGCCGAAGGCAGACGCTTAACCAACTGAGCCACCTGGGCATCCCTGTTTTGTTTTTTAGATTCCACTCATGAGTGAAATCACATGGTGTTTGGCTTTCTTAGTCTGACTTATTTCACTTAGCATAATCCCCTTTAGGTCCATCCATGTTGTCACAAATGGCATGATCTCATCTTTTGTTATGGCTGAGTAGTATTTATATATGCTGCATCTTTCTTACCATTTGTCTCTTGATGGACACTTAGGTTATTTCCCTGTCTTGGCTATTGTAAATAACATTGCAGTAAGCATGGGTCAAATTAGTGTTTGGTATTATTTTTTCTTTGAATGCTTAGGTATAATTCACTAGTGAAACCATCTGATCCTGGACTTTTGTTTGTTGGGAGTCTTTGGATTATTCGGTCTCCTTACTAATAATCAGCCTGTTCAGATTTTCTGTTCCTTTATGATTCAGTCTTAGTAGGTTGTATGTTTCTAGGAATTTATCCATTTCTTCTATTTTTCTAATTTGTTGGCATGTAATTATTCACAGTAGTCTCTTATCCTTTGTATTTCAGTGGTATCAATTGTAACATTCATTTCTGATTTTATTTGCATCCTCCTTTTTTCTTGATGTGTTTAGGTAAGGTTTGTCAATTTCGTTTATCTTTTCAAAGAACCAGCTTTTGGTTTTGAATTTTTTTTGTTTTTTGGTTTCTATTTCATACGTTTTTTCATTTATTCTTTTTCTAGTTCTTTGAGGTATAAAGTTAATGTTTGAGATTTTTTTGTTTGTTTCTTGAGGTAGGCATTTATCACAGTGAATTCCCCTCTTAGAACTGCTCTTGCTGCATCCCATAAATTTTGGTATGTTGTTTTTCCATTTTCATTTATCTCATAAGGTTTTTTTTTTTCCTTTGATTTCTTCTTTGACCCATGGGTTGTTCAGTAGCATGTTTAATCTCTATGTATTTGTGAATTTCCCAGTTTTCTTCTTATAATTGATTTCTAGTTTTATACCATTGTTGTTGGAAAAGATGCTTTGATATGGTTTCAGTCTTCTAAAATATATTGAGACTTGTTTTGTGGCCTAACATGTGATCTGTCCTGGAAGATGTCCCATGTGCACCTGAAAAGAATGTGTTTTCTGTTTTTGGATGGAGTGTTCTGTATATATCTGTTAGGTCCATCTGGTCTAATGTGTCATTCAAAGCCATTGTTACCTTGTTGATTTTATGTGTGATTTATCCATTGATGTAGGTGGGGTGTTGACATCCCCTACAATTACTGTCAGTTTCTCTAGGTCTGTTAATGCTCCTCTTTGTATGTGGGCACTCCTGTGGTGGGTGCATAGATACTTATTAATTATTATATCCTCTTGTTGGATTGATCCATTTATCATTTGTAGTGTCCTTCTTTGTCTCCTGCTGCAGTCTTTGTTTTAAAGTCTATTTTGTCTGATACAAAGTATTGCTACCTCAGCTTTTCTTCACTTCCCTGTGCATTGAATAACTTTTTCAGTCCCTTCCCTTTCAGTTAGTATGTGTGTCTAGGTCTGAGTGAGTCTCTTGTAGGCAGCATATTGTGGGGTCTTGTTTTTTATCTATTCAGTTACCCTGCCCCTTTTGATTAGAGCATTTAGTCCATTCACATTTAAAGTAATTATTGATAGATATGTATTCATGGCCATTTTTAAAATTATTTTCTGGTTGTTTTTATGGTTCTTCTCTGTTCCTTTCTTCTCTTGCTCTCTTCTGTTGTGGTTTGATGGTTTTCTAGTGTTGTGCTTGGATTCCTTTCTCTTTTACTTTTTCTGTATCTGTTACAGGTGTTTGATTTGTGGTTACCATTAGGTTCACATATAAAATCTTATGTGTATAGCAGTCTATGCTAAGTTGATGGTCACTTCAGTGCTTTCTTTAGAACATTAAGTTTGAACTTAATTTTTACTCCCCTTCTATGTATACGAAGTCATATTTTACATCTTTTTTTGTGTGTTCCTTGACTGATTTTTGTAGATCATATTTGATTTTACTTCTTTTGTGTCTTAACCTCCACATTGGCTTAAAAGTGATCAATCTACTGCCTTTACTATATATTTGCTTTTACCTGTGAAATTTTTTTCCTTTCATAATTTTCTTTTTCTTTTTTTTTTTTTTTAAAGATTTTATTTGACAGAGAGAGACCACGAGTAGGCAGAGTGACAGGCAGAGGGAGAGGGAGAAGCAGGCTCTCCACAGAGCAGGGAGCCGGATGTGGGGCTCGATCCCAGGACCCAGGGATCATGACCTGAGCCGAAGGCAGACGCTTAACCGACTGAGCCGCCCAGGCACCTCCCTTTCATAATTTTCTTACTATGGATTATGTCCTTTTCTTTCCACTCAAATAACTCCTTTTAACATTTCCTTTAAGTCCAGTTTAGTAGTGATGAACTCCTTTAACTTTTGCCTGGGAAACTCTGTCTTTCCTCCTCTTCTGAAAGATAACCTTGCTGGGTAGAGTATTGTTGGTGGCAGGTTTTTTCTTTTCAGTATTTTGATTATCATGCCACTCCCCCTGGCTTGCAGAGTTTCTGCTGAAAAATAAGCTCCTAGCCTTATGGGATTTTACTTGTCTGTAACTGCTTTTTTTCTTGTCGCTTTTAAAATTCCTTGATCATTACTTTTTGTCATTTTAATTATTGTGTCTAGGCATGGACCTTCTTAGGTTAATCTTGTTAGGGGGCCTCTTTGCTTCTTGGACCTAGACTATGTCTGTTTCCTTCCCCAGATTAAGGATGTCTCCAGCTCTTATTTCTTCAAATAGGTTTTCTGCTTCCTTTTCTCCCCTCCTTGTGGGATTCCTGTAATGCCGGTGTTACTGTGCTTGATGATGTCACTGAATTCCTTTAACCTGTTCTCATTTTTTATTATTTTTTTTCTTTTTGCTGTTCAGTTTGGGTGCTTCCCATTACCCTGTCATCCAGGTCGCTGATCCGTTCTTCTGCCTTCACTAATCGGCTGATATTTCCATTAGTGTATGTTTTTTTTACTGAATTCTTCATCTCTGATTCTCTTTTATATTTTCTACTTCTTTGTTGAAATTCTGCATTCATCCATTCTTTTCTCGAGTCCAGTGCGTATCTTTATGACCATTACTTCAAATAAGGCATTTTTGTTTATCTCCATTTCATTTAGCTCTTTTGTTGTGACTTTGTTCTTTCATTTGGGACATAATCCTTTGTTTCTTCATCTTCTCTCTCTATGTATTAGCGTAGTCAGCTACGTCTTGAAGGTGGTGCCCTGAAGTGCATTCCCTGCCAGGTCATCGGTCGCAGGCGCTCCAGGGGTGTCTCCTGTGTGGGTTGTGTGTACCCTACTGTCGTGGCTGAGCCACGTCTGCCTTTAGCCCAGTCAGCTCTGGTGACCGACTTTGCCTGCTGTGGGCACACTGGGCAGTGTTTGTTCCCTGCACTGTTGAGAGGCCGAGCTGCTGTGGGCTCATTGGTAGGTAGGGCCAGCGGTCAGACTGCATGTCTGCAGTTAGCCCCTCTGCCACAGGTATAGGCTCTTGTCACTCTGTCTTTTGATTGGAGTATTTAGCTTCTCCAAGAATTTGGGGAGTCCTGCAGCCATAGCACCCTGAACCACCCTGTCTCAGCTGATCCGACACTAAGCTGGGTCAGGCCCGATTAGTAGTTGCTGGGAGGCCTCCTTGGAATACTGGATGCTGTCAGCTTAAAAGAGCTGAGATCTCCAGAACGCTCAGCTGCCTTTGGTCCTGGGGCAGGAGCAGACCAGCATCATGGACAAACCTAGAACCTTTTATAGCAGTTTAACAGTAATTTTGTTATTTCCAATGTATTTATTTTTGTTAACTGTATTTTTAACAATGTATCAGATCGTGATTGATTGGGAGGGGAAAATACTGGTTCTTGACCACAGTTTGAGAGCTACTGACCTTGGACACCTATGTAAGAAACAGTCATCTGAGCAGTCTGATTGCAGCCCAGCCGCTTGTTTATGGGGAAGGAAGACAGGCAGTGTGGCTGTGTACACTTACTACCTGATTTGCTCCTAGGTGTTACTGGGCTTGCGTGATACCAGCGATTCCATTGTGGCAATTACTCTTCACAGCCTAGCAGTGCTGGTGTCTTTGCTTGGACCAGAGGTGGTTGTGGGAGGAGAAAGAACCAAGATCTTCAAACGCACTGCCCCAAGTTTTACGAAAATGGTCGACCTTTCCCCAGAAGGTAAGAATGATTAAAAAGTATAGCTTTTTATTTTAAATGTTTAATTAGATTAACATTATACAAATAGTGCAGGTGGGTTGTCTTCAAATGATACAGAGAATGGTAAAGAAAGAGTAATTTCCCTCTCCCAATACCCTCTGGGTGTGTAAGGTAACCAGTTTTAATAGTTTAGTGGGAATCTTCCCCACAAAGACACGCAGATGTATCTTTATACACACATGCCCATATATAGGATTTTTTAACAAAACAATGAGAAAATACTATGTGCAATTCTGCAACTTAATTTTTTTGTGTAGTGGCTTATCAGGGACTGGTCTCCAGGTCAGTACCTAGAAACAGCACCTTTTTTGACAGCTGCCTAATATTTCATTGAATATAATTCATTCAGTGGTTTCCCTATTGATGGATATTACTTTCATTTCTGGACATTACATTGCTGCAGTAGAGGTCTTCTATGTACCTGTATCTTTGTGTAGTTTGGCTTTTATTGCTAGAGGATAAAATCTCAGAAGTAGACCTACTGGGTCAAAGGGTATATATTTAAAATTTTAATAGATACCGTCTGTCACCTTCTAAAAAGTTTGTAGCAACTTATAACACTAGACATTTAAGTTTTTCTGATGTTGATGGCCTTTTAGGTAAAAAGCTGTTGATTTTTAAGTACTTCAAGAAATCCTTATTTCTGGTCTGTTCTCATTGGAGTTACATGGGACGGAGCAGTGATTTCTGGTCTTCGTAGGCTATAAAAGTCAAGAAAAAGAATTTTATATCAGAGTCATTGCTTCGTTGGTCCTTGGTTTAACCCTGACTAGGATGGTGACCTTGTTAGGACACGCAGATCTTGGATTCAGTTCTCATGGCTGGTGAATTCGATAGCACAGAAACAGTCACAGTAGAAAAGAACTATCAGACTTTTCCCTAATTTTGATGCCAGGAGAATCTTTTAAGCAACACTGGCTTCCTGAAGTTTTGATGGGTCCAACTCTTCTTGGTGCTAACAAAGTCAGTGTCAGTCAGGAGCTTGAAGAGGGTGATGCAGAAGCTGCACCCCCCTCTCCAACCAGGCTGTGTTCATACTACATTTGAGTGAACGAAGTCTGTGTGTGACTGGTTTTTCTCATAGCAGAGTACACCAAACAGCAAATGAGAGATGTATTTATATTTCATACCAGAGGAATGGGGGGGGATGGTAGTAGTGGTATGTGCAGTTTGGAGATAAGACTGGGGAGTCCCATCTCTGAGGGCAGCTTTGCATGTTGAGTTAGCAAGAACCCCGCTCCTCATACCTGTTGTATTTATTGGATGCAGTTTCCTACTTCTGGACATTTTATATACTGTTGACCTATAATCTTAGTAAGAAACCAAAAGGCACCAAAGCAGGAGTACCAAATAAATTTTTATTAAAATAGATGTTCCTAAAGACTTTATAAGACAGAATAAGGTCTTATCCCACTGACTTCCCAAATTAGTTAAGCTCTTCATCCAAGATGGCTGTTGAGCCCTGGCAGCAGCCTGCATTTCCCAGTTCCCAGTTAAGAGTGGCTCTTCTGAGGGACGTAGGAGAATGCTGGGGAGGGGGCATGTATACAGGAGGGTACCCTTGGACTTTTTTTTTCTCCTTCTGTTCTTCTGCAGTTTACCTATATGGTCAGACTTAATATGGGATAACACTAAGGCTTATGAAAAGGGTACCTCAGGGAAATAAGTCTGCGTGGAAGAGCATTGGAGAAGGGGACACTGGGTAAGAGACATCGGTAGGCCCTCGGCAGGGAGGATGGCGGCAGGAGCAAGCAGGAGGGTGCAGGGCTTGCAGAGGTCAGGCCTTGCAGGGCAGGCAAGGCCTCCCTGTGATGATGTACCCCAGGCAGAGGAAGTATTAAGCCAAAAATTTTGCTGGAATCCTTTTGACCAATGCCACCTGTTGAGTATAAGCTTTCTGGTAAACCATTAAAGACATTTTTTTTTTTTTAAACAATTTTTCCCCCCCAGCTGGGAGCTAAACGTCTGCTATAAAATAAAATTTCATTTTAACCATTTTTAACTGTACAGTTTGTGGCATTAAGTACATTCACATTGGTGTGCTTATACTCTTAGACTTTTTATTCTTAAAAGTAGAATCAATTATGATTTTAAATTGCCAAAATGTTCAAAGCCATTAACTTTTGTAATTAGATATCCTAAAGGTTATATCTAATCAACTCCTCAGCTAACGCTTGAATCCTTTCGGGTCCCTTAACATCATGTAGACACTCAGTCGGCCCTGAAACACCTTGAGGACCGGCAGTCCACTGTGTAACAGGTGTGTTTCTTCAGTTATCTGAAGATGCTCTCTCCCTGCAACTTACCTTTTATCTGTGTTAAATAGACCCATTTCCCCGTAACTGTTGCTCTCCTACCCTGATAGAGCAAGAAGCAATTTACTATCCCTTTTATTTTTGGGAGTTTTTATTTATCTTCAGATTCTCCCCCGCATGTCGTCTGTAGCCAGCAGAGTCAGATGGCGCCAATCATGGAGAACCCCTCCTCTGGCACATTCCCTAAATGTTTCTTTTCTGGCAGCATGCCCGTCAGCAAGAAGCACATACAGCAAGATTGCTACAATACTCTTTTACAGACAGGTAGAAATATTCAATTTATGTAGCTTTTCCACTGTTTAGATGAATGTTTTCCTGAGTCCTGAGTTTTAAATTCTGAAAATTAAGGGCACTTTGGGAGTATTGAGGCTGACTTCTGTTATCACTTATAACTGTATAGTCAGCTGGGGTCTCCTGCTTTTCCTGGACAGGGCATAGACCTTCCATTTCTTCGTAACTGGTGAGGAGAGCTGGCTGACATTACTTTGGTACTTCTGATGCTTTAATGTAGCATTTTCCAAATTATATCAGAGGATGACAGTTCTGTTAGATGACAGTAGGTATGCCATGAAAAAGAGTTGTGTGCTTAAGTAAGTTTGGGGAAATGTTAGTAGCAGAGTCCTGACACATTGCAGAAAATTCCAAGGCCGTGACTACATTTAAGGAAATCTGTTTAAAATGAGGGTATGTTAGGGGCACCGTGGGTGGCTCAGTCGGTTAAGCATCTGACTCCTGATTTGGGCTCAGGTGAAGAGATCAAACCCTGCGTCGGGCTCTGTGCTGGCCATGGAGCCTGCTTGAAATCCTCTCTCTAAAAATAAATAAATAAAATTTAAAAAGTAAAATTAGGGTATATTGGGTTAAGACAAACTTATTTGAGCACACAACACTTCTTGGGGTTAACACTGCCTGGCTTAGAACATTTCTGTATTTGTTTATAGATAATTATGCCAATAAACAATATGCTTGAATATTTAGTAAAGGACTGTATGCTCCAGTTAAAGTATTTGAATAACTTATATCACATCTTTGTTCTGTTTTGCTGGGATATCTCTTTTGTAGGTACAGTTTAGTAACCTGTGTTACCCTTTTCCTTTTGCTTGCTCTTAACACTTTATGAGAGTAATTTTTGTATATATCCCCACAGGTCATCAATTTCCTCAGCCTATTAAATTTCCCATGAATGGGCTCTCAGATGTGAAAAATACCCCAGGAGATAGTGAGAACTTCCCACCAAGTTCTAAAAAGTCTGAGGAGTGGCCTGACTGGAGTGAGCCTGAGGAGCCTGAAAACAGAGCTGTCAGCATCCAGATTTGTCCCACAGAAGCCTGCCATACCTCCATATCCCCACTCACTAACGTGAACACGGAGGAGGTGGTGTGGGATGACTTTGAACCCAGCAGCTTAGATACTGAAATAAGTGCAAGAGGTGGAGTCTCAGCTGTCAGCCGGGGTACCTCAAGGGAACAGGAGGCTATTCCTACTTTGGTTTCACTCACTGAAGAGTCCAAACCTTTGAAATTGAGTCTACCCCAAAAGACCAATCTTGCACAAAGTGGGGATGACCCAGACCAAACCAAGCCACCAAAAGTGTCATCCCAAGAAAGGCGCCTTAAGGCTCCATCAGAACTTGGTTTAGGAGAGGAGTTTACCATTCAAGTAAAAAAGAAGCCGGTACAAGATCCAGAGTTGGACTGGTTTGCTGATATGATTCCAGAAATTAAGCCTTCAGCTGCTATTCTTATTTTGCCTGAACTGAGGACAGAAATGATGGTTTCTGACAAGGATGACATCTCACCAGTGATGCAGTTTTCCTCAAAATTTGCTGCAGCAGAGATGACTGAGGTGAGGCTTAGTAAATCGTGCTGCTAGTTTAAGGGATGCCCTTGTACATACCGGTTGCGAGGTCTCGTTGATAACAGACTTGCTGTTTTCCCGGTGAGGGAAGAGACTAATGCACACATTTGTTTACAGTGATGGGTGAAGCACAAAATGAATATGATCAGTTTCTATAAATGCTATCTTTCCTTCCCCAGAAAGAAGGAGCAATGCTTAGACTTAAGTGTTTAATGGGCCACTAGTTACCATTATAACCTTTTTACTTAAAAGGGGGTTAAACCAAGAATAGGGTATCATCAGATAGATTTTATTGTATTTATATGGTCCTTGGAAAAGTTATTTTCCAGTGTTGTGGTCTTGTAAAGCTGGAACCAAAGTAATCCTCCTCCTCTTCAGCTTCCTGTAGCAGTCAGTTATTTTACCTAGCACGAGGAGATCTCTGCCAGCATCGAAAGGCAAGTGTTAGGCCCCTTTAAATTCAGAAATGATTTGTCTCAGCAGCCTGCCCTTGGTTTGCTTTATCTTGCTGCAGGGAGAGTCTGAAGGCTGGGGAGACGAAGGGGAGCTGAACTGGGAAGATAATAACTGGTGACAACGGGTATAACTTTAGGGAAAAGGATTTCTTTAAAAAAAAAAAAAATCAAACTAATACCTCAAAGTGGGCTCTGCAGACAAGAAAACCCAGAAGCATCTGTTTTTCCCATCTGTGCCAACTGAAGCTCGAGCCCCCGAGTGCTGGCTGGTACCCCGGCAGCGAAGAGCCCCCAGCGCTGGTTTTGCAGAGGAGGAGCCCGTGTGCGTCTGACAGGCCAGTTTCTGTGAAGAGCAAGTAGCTATGGAAAGGTTGAATTTACTGCTTTTTTCCAGGACAATTCCAGAAGAAAATAAATACAAAAATTCAAGCTGATTAGCTTAATTTTGTGCCATTTCTTTAACAGAAGAGTAAGCTTTATTATGAAATACAACTTACGGAAAAAGTTTTAGCTGTAAAGTATATAAATGATTTTAAATTGCTAAGGTTTCCTTAGGCAGCTTATTTATTTGTTTACAGTTGTACTGTCTGTGGCCCTGTGGGTACCTGGGCAGTCCCTGACTGTTCCACATGTATTACATGTACCAAAGTTCTTCACAAGAAATCTCCTCCACCACCTGTTCTCTAAACAGCCAATAAAGACTATTTTCACTAGATTCAACTTTACAAAAGTTGTTTTATATGTGTTTGTTAGAAAACGCAGACATAGTTACATCAATGTATTCATTTACAAAGTACAGTGTAGGATGGTAAAAATCATACCCCGTTCTGTCTAGTGGTAACACGGTCTAGTCCATTCAAGGGCCACCCTAGAGTACATGTCGTTTCAGCTCATCAATCCTTTCTTGGAGCATCTCCATTTTCAGTAGAAGCCAGTCTGGAGCAGGAGACTTTTGGAGTAAGGACTCAACTGCCTCCAGGGCCCCTGATGCTGCTTGCAGTGCTGACCTGTACTCTTCTTCCAAGGGGAACTCCTGACGGCGTCTTTTTGTATAAGGCTGGCAAATGAGAAAAACACGGGAGATAAGTAATGCCATGATACCCATTCCCAAGATGATCAAGAACTTTCTTTTGGTATTTCTGAAACTGTAAAGTTTTATGTGCAAATTTTATTTTGTCATTGGCTCACAAGGGCAGGAGGGAATGACCACCCCTGTACCACCTAGAAAAATATGTGAAGGCATTTCTGGTTCGTCACAGCGATTCAGGGTGCTACTATCATTAGGGTCCAAGGAAACTAAGAGGGATGCTGCCTTGTCCAGTAATTTCCAGAGTATTCTTTGGAAATATCTCATCCTGACAAAAAAGCCCCAAGTATGCATTTTCTAAATGGTTCCAGTTTACTTTTTAACGTTAAGTGCTGTGGTCTTTCAGATGCTTTTCAACCCAATCCAGTAAACTGTCAGGCTTTCTAACATCACTGCGCTGGGGTGGGTATCGGGACCAGGACGTCTTTTGTAATCACGGTCTTCCTAAGGAAGGTCATAAATTCTTGAGGGCTTATTTACAGCAATGCTATGTAACTTTTAGGCCTGAAATCTATAAAGTTAAATATGTCTTGAAAATAAGTTATTAGCATAGACTTTCTTTATATAAGACTTGTAAATAAAACAACAGAATATTGTTCCTCTTAGGGATTGCTATTCTAAATACACTATCAGTGCTCCAAACAATATTTTGAATATCCTTGGTGATATCAGATTTCTGCCTTTTAATAGGGAGATGTGATTTCTAGACATTGCCAGAAATCATTTAGGCTTGTTTGATGAAGGAGGCAAGGGATCAACCGAAACATTTTGGAAGGTGATTTCATTCATTTTCTTCGGTGGTTCAGAAACTACATTTATAGCTTCACTGATACAGATACGTAACTTTCCTAAAAGTTACTATAAACAGTTGAAAGTCATAGTGAAAGAGTACAGTCAGTATCATGTTTAAAACTTGAGTTTTTGTAGCCCCACCTCTGTTCTATGTGTTGATAACCTTTCAGGAAGAAGAAATGCGATTTTTAAAAGAGCAGCTACTGTAGAACAGGAAGATTTTACATGTCTAGATCTATTTGATTGATTATATTTTGACAGTATGAGGCCAGGAACCATACTAGTTTTTTCACTTTTATCAGTAAGAAGAGAATTTCTCCTAAAATCCTGACCCATACCAAAATGCAGTCCATACCTGTAGAGATGACCACTTTTCTTCTTCTACAGCAACTTTAGCCAAGTGTTCCCGGAAAATGCCTTTTTCCTGTTTCACACGTTCCACTCTGGCAGCTGCAGTTTCATCTACAAACCCAGTCTGCCACGGATCATGAAAAATCAAGTAAACACCAAGCATTCTCTAATAGATGTCAAATGATGTAATATTCAGAAAATGAGAAGACCAGGGGCTCTTGGGTGGCTCAGTCGGTTAAGCGTCCGACTCCTGATTTCAGCTCAGGTCAGATCTCAGGGTCGTGACGTAGAGCACAGCACTGGTCTCTGCACTGGGCGTGGAGTCTGCTTAAGATTCTCTCTCTCCCTCTGCCCCTCCCTACCCCCAACTTAAAAAAAAAGACCATGCACGTGCGTGCGTGTGTGTGTGCACGTGTTTAAGCACCTGGTGTTTAAACTATTCTGGCTTAGTCTGTGAGCTAGGCAAATTTTGGAAATTGGACTCATCTGTAAATGCATCCTCTTCATGTAATTTGGATAAAATTACTTTACAGTGTTCTCCTTCCCTACAGGTAAGTTGAACTGTCGTTTTTCCAAGAGAGAAATGATAGTCTGCAAACCTTCATTGTGTAGGGTAAGAAACTGTCAAAACATGTTACACACACATACTTAATCCAGCTTCTGTGTAACATATACATGTATATACATAGTCCAGTTTAATAATGGGTATAGTATAAAAAAATAAGCATAATTCACTTTCTCTCGGTTTTCTAAATTTGTGGTTTAACTGTTCTACTAGTGCTGCAATTAGCCCTTATATCCTAAAACTACCCCCATATAAGTTGCAAGGTGTGCACAAACATGGGAGCCAAATGATGGAACAGTTCGGTTCTAACTATAGAAACGAGCAGCGCTACCAGAGTCCACACTGTGGGCAAAGGGGCTCCGACCACCCCACCACGGTGCCTCATCCTACGGGCCCAGCTGTTCAATATGCGTCACCTCGGTGCTGAGCACTACGAAAAATTTAAGCTAAGAAGATACCGGACTTGGTTACAATCCTACAATTTAAAAAAACAATGACAAAATCTGTGATGCCGCTATTTTGATTTATAGAAATAAATACCTTCTCCAGAAAAGATACAACTTTGTTCTTCGTATCTTCAGAACGGAGACATTGTGGAACCATCTCTTCATGGTTTGTTCCCTATTAATAAAAGATAGATAAATGAGACCAATTTTAATGTATCTCAACAACTCGCAAAGACAACTCCGTAAGTTTTAAGAGCTACCTTAATCATAAATGCGTTTTAAAAGAAAACAGTGTCAGAGGATACTCAAAAGACCATCAGCTCCTTAGTTCCTTCAGGGAGCCTCAGGACCATGCAGTGTTCTGCACGAGCACAGAGCTGGAAGCTTTCGTCCTTCTGCCCGGTCATCTTAATGTCTGTGGGCCCCTATGACCGAAGGCGTGACTGCACAGCTCCAGGGGAGAGAAAAGGAGCACCCCCAGGAGGCTTCCTTCTCCGGGCCCTGAGCTCACAGGTCCCTGTGTTCATCAACCTAACTCCTAAATGATGGAGATGGAATGCATTATTCATTTCACACTCAAAAATACTGTCTGGAAGACAGTGTCCAAGTGAGTAGACTTGGTCTGAATGCCTGGTTCTGGTTCTACTCTCCTAGGACCTTAGGAAACTACCTTCATTTCTCTATGCTCCATTGTTAGATGCTGCAAAAGAGATCGTTGGTAATATCTCCTCCGGTGGAAAACTTTAATGGCTAAGACCAAAAGCTCAATAAATGTTTTCAGAATGTTTTGGAAAATCTGAAATAATACTTTTTGGTGATCACTGTGATAGGCTGGTCTTGTAATTACCTGGGCGAACTGAGTAAACGCCTCCAAGGTATGTTGTTCTACTATCCAATTCCTGTCAGCTAGCAGCGAGGCAAAAATAGAAGACAGGCTGGGCAGAATTTTGTCCTAAAAAGAACCAAACCTTATTAAATAGAGGAAAACCTCAGTATTCTATTCTTAATGTTGTTAAGTTTCCCTAATTCTGTCCCAGTGAGCCCATATTAATACGTGTTAGGGCATGTCACTCCTTTGCTTAAATGCTTCCAATAGCTTCTCACTTCATTAGAGTAAAACTCGGAAGTCTTTAAGATGGCCTGCAAAGCCCCACTGTCTGAGTGTGGCCTCTGCCGGCCCCCTCAGTGGATCAGACACCCTCTCATCTCACTACTTACCCTGCGTGTGGGATACCTGCCTGGCTGCCTCCCTCAGCTTCAGGATTTTACTCACAGATCACCTTGGTGAGGATGCCACTGCCCATAACCCGTTTCAAACTGTACCCCCACAGGCACACTCTCCCCCTATTTCTCTCCACAGCTCTCACACTAACATGTTATATCGTGTCTTTATTCGTTGCCTTCCAGAGGCTGAGGGTGGGGATTGATTAGTTTGGTTCATTAATGAATCCCCAGTGATTAAAACAGCACCTGACAGCAAAAACTCAGCAATTTTTTCTTGAATAAATAAATCCATCTCCTGGCTTTAGAGGCCTCTTATATGCTGATGAATCCACCAAATGTTCAGGCCTTAACTTCACTCCTGGGAATATGTAATTTGCTCCACAGGATCTGGGCCCATCAGGGTCCATAGTTATGCATGAATTAAACAGTACTGTGGAATTTATTTTATGCTAAAAAGAAGACAGCTCAAATGCAAGTATCTCTGGATACTTTTGTCCAGAGTTGAAAAGCTGTCAACCTCTCCATTTCTTTCATGAAAACAAACAGAATGATTTCATTTAACTTTAAATAATAGCCCTTTAGAAACTAGCCAGTTGTTTTTTATTTCAAAGTTTTTAATATCTACTGAGATAACATCCATCATGGTTTTGCTCCAGTTACATGAAAAGGTTCTCATTGGTGAGTTTTTTTTTTTTTAAAGATGTATTTATTTATTTACTTGAGTGGGAGAGGGAAAGTCAAGCAGACTCCTCGCTGAGCACAGACTCTTGATCTCAAGACCCTGAGATCACAACCGGAGCCGAAACCAAGAGTCAGATACTTAACCAACTGCGCTACTCAGGTGCCCCTCAGTGAGCTTTTTATAGTCTCTCCCATGGAGGTGGAAAAGAAAAATGTCAACTATCTAGAATTGCTGGATTTGACCACAGTAATAAGAAAGGCAAAATTCAATTTAGGAGGATGATCTTT